CCTTATCAATATCTTAAGCTGCAACACAATTTACTGAAGCATTAGCTTCATTAAATAATGACTTCACTGTGATGTATTATTTTCTAAATCAGTAACTGGAAGTCTTTCACCTTGAAACGTGATCATGCTTCATGTAAACATTTAGCCAATAACTACACTCACATAAGTCAAACTCCTCTATTTTGATAGTCATATCTTAGTAACTGAGGAACCTTCAAACTGAACACTTGATCATGTTCCATGTGAATTGTTTGACTTGAAAAAAAAAAAAAAGAAAGTAAAAAAAAATATATATATGTATGTGTATATATATATATGTGAGAATAAAAAAGAATAAATAAAAAAAAAATATATATATATATATATATATATATATATATATATATATATATATATATATATATATATATATATATATATATATATATATATATATATATATATATATATATATATATATATATATATATATATATATATATATATATATATATATATATATATATATATATATATATATATATATATATATTGTTATTAGTGCTATTAATTTTGTTGGGGACCGGGCACATATACGCAGCGGAAAACAATTTTTTTATTTTATTTATATAAACTAATTTATATAAACAAACACGTACACAATAATTACAATTAATTGCGTACATTTTCGCTTCCATGGGCTAGTGGTAAAATCGAATCCAGGTAAAATGAAATTAAAAAGAAAGGTAAACTACGAAAAATCCCCTGAACTTAGGCTAAACTACAAAAAAAAAAAAAAAACCTCCACATATCCGTAGTTACCAAAATCCCCCTAACATGTGTTTTCGTCTTACACCGACCCCCCTATGGTATTATTTTTCTCTGAATTTTCTTTATTCCATGGAATATTTTCCGAACAATTTTGATCTAACTCCTACTAAAGTGGCAATTCTTTATGTTACTTTTTTAAGATAAAAATTACTCTTAGAGAGGTCATTGTAATACTATAAAAATGTGAAGGTGTTATTTAAGAAAAATAAAGATTCCATGTAAAGGCATCCCGAGAGTAAAATTTGCCTTTAAAAAGTAGTATAAAAATGTCACTTTTGTAGGAATTAAATCAGCATTTTTTGGAAAATATTCCAAGTATTCAAAAAAATTCCATGAAAAATAACACCATAAGAGGGTCGGTTTAAGATAGAAACAAACGTTGGGGGATTTTGATATTTACGGGTAGGTGAGGGTTTTTTCATAATTTAGACTAAGTTCGGGGGTTTCATAATTTACCCTTAAAAAAAATTAAATTTAGAGTTGTAAGATATGAAGTGATATTGCTATTAGATTACATACTAATGCTAGTAACAATATTACTAATATGCTAATATTAATACTAACATTAATTCTAAATATACTAACACTAATACTAAAACTATAACACTAACACTAACACGAATACCAATACGAATATAAATATCAATACGAATACCAATACCAATACTAATATCAATACCAATAGTAATAGTAATACTAATACTAATACTAATACTAATACTAATATTAATACTAATACTAATACTAATACTAATACTAATACTAATACTAATACTAATACTAATACTAATACTAACAGTAATAGTAATATTAATATTAATACCAATATTAATAATAATACTAATACTAATACTAATACTAATACTAATACTAATACTAATACTAATACTAATACTAATACGAAAACCAACACCAATACCAACGTCAATACCAATACCAATACCAATACCAATACAAAAAACCAATATCAATACTAATACTAATACTAATACTAATACTTATGTTAATGTTAATTCTAATATTAATACCAATACTAATATGGGGTTGTCTAGGGTCCGAGAGGGTTGTACTTCTCGGACCATAAAAGAATTAATCTGCACCGTTAATATTAATTGATAAATAATTGTGTCCATTGATCTAATGTACATACCATGTACGACCCTAGGGTATATTAAAAAAATGTACATGCCTAGCAAAAATCATTGTACTCCCATCATACATGGATAGTACTTCAACTAATTTACATTTTTAACCTTTACATTTAATTAGTAAATATTTACTCAATTGTTAAAAACCAAATTTAATAGTTTACAGAGAGTACAGACAATGAATGAACTGTCGTCTTTCCCACACAGACAAAGACGCAATACAAGTATTTTTTCGAAAATAGATGGTGGTGGGTGGGTTCAACGGCAACCACTGAGATTTTTTTTTTGGGTGGGTCTTTTGGATTAAGTCGTTTTGAGTTCTTAATTGTTGAAATTCAGGGCGGTATAGAGGTTTCCCCCCGAAATATTGTTGTTGAATTTCGGTGAGAGGATTTATTCGAAAGCAATTTGGGTTCAGACAAAAGGAATTGCCGTGGAGAAGAGAGGAATTAGGGTTTTGTTGTGGTGCCCCTAGGTTTGTTTTTCCGATTTGCGAATTTGATTGATAACGGGACATGATTGGAAACGGGGCGGAGGAAAATTGGAATGCCGAAACTCAAGCGTTGCTCAATGGCGAAAGAGGAAGTGACGGGTGGGAACGACGTGGAGGAATCATGCAGCCCCGCCGTTAATTGTAAAAAGATGACAAAGGTAACTGATCGATGTTTTACTGTTCCAATAGTAAAATTAGAAGGTCAGAGCATTGATCTTTCAAACTATTGCCCTTCCACTGGACGCTCTTTGGATAATGCCGAAGCAAATTCCGTTGCTCAGAGGGCTGTTAATAACAAGCCTCCACTATTGAAGTCTTCTCGAGGGCGTAAGCAGGTACTCCCTATGAAATTCAATGACTCTGTTTTGCATCCATGGAAGAAAGAAAAATCAGAGGGTTGTGATGATTTGAAGAGTTCAGTTGACAATGATGAATATGCTCAGGTTGTGCCTCGTAATAAGAAGTTAAAACGACAAGATAAGTCGGCATCACATGATGACGTATATTTAGTCAAGAAACCACGAATTGAAAAGAAGTCGAGCTTCCAATTGAAAAACATAATTTTATAGCCTTATTCTAGTTCGCCGAGTTCAGTGACATCAGTTAATGAAGGGATTTCTAGTGTATCACCCTGGCGGAAAGT